GGCAACAATTTTGCCAGGGAACACCACTGGCTATCGTATGTCAGAGGCTCCAAAGGCGGTAGAATCCTGTGATGTTATCCACTGTTCACCCCGTGTTCTTTTAAGCAAATGTGCCTGCTCAAAAATGCAAAATCTTGCAAGCCTGTGGACACAATACTGAAGTGAAGAGCATCAGTAGAGTTACATGTAGAAAATTGTTTTTTGAGCGCTCTCTTTTGCATGATATTTTTTTTTCTCGATTGTGTGCTGCATGATTTTTTTTTCTTTCTCCTTGGGTTGCAGGAAATTCTTTTTCGAAATCTTCCACCCCCCCCCCCTCAAAAGTCAAATGGTCCGCCCCTAATTTTGAAACAAATGATAGCGATATTACATTTATTAAACGACGTTTCGATGCTACAGCGTGCATGAATGTAATATCGCTATCATTTGTTTCAAAATTATTTTCAAAAAAGTTTTTGATTAATACTTCTTATGCCTGTAAATATCAAAATAGTGCGAGGGCCATATGTTAGATAACTTTGTGATGTGTCATATTTCTGAATATATTTGATGATTGCCACGTATCTATATGACTATGTCAACACTACCCAATCGAACATTATTGTGCAAGCCGTATTTTATTGAAGTGTCGAATTTCAAGGACCTGGCATGAACAATATAACGCTACAATTTGTGCGCTTAATAAACCTTTCAAATTAACATTTGGAATTGCTATTTCTTTGAAATATATATAGCATGTTATGAAAACGGCCGTTCGGTGATTCATAGACAGGATGATAAATGTTTGAAGGCACGATTAAGGAGATTTGGAGTAACCGATCGGATCTTGACGGGACCTAAATATATTCAGATATAAAGCATAATATTATATTGTCTGGCAGAACGGCAGGCGAGTTGTTGTTGCTGACATTTCTGGTAAGTTTGCTCACGTTTTTTTCCTTACACGAGAGCTGACGAGTCCTTACCGCTTACGGTTATAGCATTCAAATTCGGCCAGTTTCATTCGTGCTTTGTAAACTCAAAGTGAAATGGCGCAATTTGGAGTTATATATTTTGGCATTCGCAGTAATACAGACTTTTGCGATGCACTTATCCGTATTTGCCGATAGGGATGGGCTACACTACGACATATATGTACCATTTAAAACATGCGTAGGAGCGTTTTATCATATTTACTTTCCTCAAAATAACGACACCGAACACGCGTGTGTGATGCTTGGAATATGAGAGCAGTCACATCAGCAACATTGTTCGTTCTTGAGCAGTTGAGGGCAAAATTTAGCTATTGCTACCAATATATGGCAATATACAATTTAGAATTGAACCGGAGATATATGTGCCACAGCTAAATAATCGACACGATATATAAAGTCAAAAAGCGATGACGACGATGTATACTGTACTCGATGTCAATGTATATTAATCAGTCAACACTCATGAATAGACAATGTCTTGTGTGTTTTTACTGTATAGTCCATAGACTGTAATACTATATAGTCCATAGACTACTGTATAACCTTGGATATTTTTATAATGAATGGTCATTGGTCAAGTATAAAGACCACTGCGTAGCTATATTTATTATTGCAGCGCTTTCAATCTGGGAGGAAACACAATTATCATACACTATAAACAAACATTGTCGCCAATTTAGTCTGTATAATAAAACTAAGGATTTCAAATAATTCAAAACGTCTGCAGTATAGACAGGCGAGGACCTTACCAATGCAACACCGAGTACACCAAAAAAACTAAACTGACGAATACTTTCTTGTATGATGCGTTGCAAAATTCAATGAATACTTTAACAATCGAAGAGGACAAAGCAAAGAAAGCGAGTTACTCACTCTAACTACGTAGCTAGTATCGTTATAAGTAGTAATATATTTACTAATTAAACACGACTACAAGTGCTTTAAATGGCTTCAAAAACGACTCATCTTATACGAGTTCATTGGCGAAGTAATTTTTAAAATAAACTGTCTAAACCGAGAATATCAAAGTTTCCATTTGATTTCTATTGAAACGAGCTAAGTCTTATAACTGTGCTTCAAATAGATGTAATTTGTGTTTATGGGAGAAATACTTTATCATTTGTAAGCCCAAAATGGCAACTTTAAACAAACGTAATGAGTTAGTATCAGCATGTAGGCATAATAAAAAATTCCTTTTAAGTAACATTTAAAAGCTAGACATTTAAATATACCGCGGTGTGTTAATCTTTCCGCGTCCTGTCAGCTTATCACATAAGTCTCATCCACTTGTACATATAACCTTGTAAGTTTTAGTCTATACTCATTAGGTCAATTTATCTGAAGAGTGCCACACTGTGGTACGAAACTATTTAGTAATAAAGATGCCTAGTGGATTTTGTTGATTTGTTGTACCTTAATTTATATATATATATATATATATATATATATATATATATATATATATATATATATATATATATATATATATATATATGTAGCGGTTTATGAGTTGTTTTCAAACGAGTGTATACCAAACCGGGCAAGCAGAAAATTCTACTTGACCGCGGCTGGGATTCGAACCCGCGACCTTCGCATTTCTAGAACGATGCTCTACCTTCTGAGCTACAAGGTCAAGCTGAGAACGACGTGTTAAGTTATGATGTTATGATGTTATTCGCATTTCATTTGGTATACACTCGTCTGAAAACAACTCATAAACCGCTACATAACGTAACACGAGTGGAATCGTCAACGTGGGAAACCACAACATTCACATACAACATTGCCAGACTAATAGCTGGCTTTACGCATTGAAGGACTACCCTCCGAAATGCGAATAACATCATAACTTAACACGTCGTTCTCAGC